TAAATAAAATCTTTAAAAAAAAATAAAAAATCAATTATCCATACAAGCAAATACTACAGACCCCAGCGAAACACGCAGAGGCAAGTTCTTCACGTATCAGGAAGAGTGCTAATTGGGAAGAGCAAGCTGGTAGAGCCTACATTCTATACTAAAAGCTCACCTCTTCCCAACACGGCCATCCCCCAAGGAGAATGCTAGGCCTCACAGCATGGATCTTCTGAACATACCTACAACTATCTAGTTTACTTTCTTCCCAAACACCACCACAGCAAACTTCAAGGAGCCTGCATACCACCATAAAGAAGGACTTTTGTGTCATTGAAACTAAGGTTTGCCACCCCTTGGTTCTTCTTTCTTAAAAGCGGTTAAAACACACCTGGAATGTTCTCTGATTTGGGGGTGGGGTGAAGGGGCTACCTACAGAATATGTGTAAGCCTCTTAAAATTGTTTTAAAAGATTTTATTTATGAGAGACAGAGAGAGAGAGCATGTGCACACGAGCAGGGCTGAGGGGCAAAGGGAGAAGCGGACTGACGCGGACTCCATCCCAGGACCTGCATATCAAGACCTTAACCCACTGAGCCACCCAGGCGCCCACCCTCTTAAAATTTTTAAGCAGGAAAATGTTGCAAAAATTCCCTGAGGTTTTTAAAGGCATTAATATTAATTTAGGGGCGCCTGGGTGGCTCAGTCAGTAGAGCGTGTGACTCTTGATCTCAGGGTTGTGAGTTCAAGCCCCACGTTGGGTGTAGAGATGACTAAAGGCATTCATTTAAAGCTACCTAAAGCCCTTTGCAGTCCAGCTCAAAGCAACGGAGAAGCTGTGTCAACTACCTTTAGTGGAGCATCTCTGACCTTCCCTCTCTGCTACTGCATAAAATTTTGACAAGCAGAGGTTTAAAAAAAAAAAAAAGGCTCAGCAACCTCAATATCCATCAGAAGCGGTCCAATGAAATTCTGACATTTAATATTATGCAACCTTAAAAATGAAATTCTTTTCAGCCACAGTAAGAAGTGTTTGATATACATATTATGGAAGGAACAATTCAAGATGCAGAGAGATTTATAGTAGGAAAGCAAATATATGATTTTAAACATATGCTTATGTATATGCATAAATATTGCTCATGAAAAGCTATACAAAAAAAGTGATAGTACTTCTATGGGAGAGTGGGAAGAAGTTAGGAGCTAACATTTGACATCCAGGAGTCTTTCACTATGTGCATAGCAGGGTTTTGTTTTGTTTTTTTTTTTTAAATAAACATGAGACTTGGGGCACCTGGGGGGCTCAGTCAGTGAAGCGTCTGCCTTCAGCTCAGGTCATGATCCCAGAGTCCTGGGATCAAGTTCCCCATCAAGTTCCCCATCGGGATCCCTGCTCAGCGGAGAGCCTGTTTCTCCCTCTCCTCCCAACTCGTGCTCTCGCTCTCAAATAAATAAAAATAAATAAAATCTTTAAAATAAATAAACATGAAACTCACCAAAACTTGTCTCTCCTTGTTAAATGACTGCAGTGAATAATTCGGTTTATAAACCTTACTGCTAGATTTTAATACAAAATAGTGTGTATTCATGACAATACAGGCCAACAGCCTAAGAGCAGCTCAGAGATTGTTTTCTACTGTGTTAAAACTGTTTTAGTAACAGTTCGGTGTCACCCACATCCAAGTACCAATTTTGAATGCCTCACATCTCAAACTTATTAAAACTTAACATTAAGCTATTTTTTTCTTTTTAAATAAAACACGGATTATAGCCGTGTGACCGGATTTCCAAGGAAGTAGAACACCAGACAGGAATGCCAACAGAACAGCGTCCTAGAGCAAGGCAGGGCGCTCTCTGCCCTCAAGAGTGACGCCCGAGCAGCGGGCTGACTTTGAGGGGTGGGGGCCCAAAGGCTGGAGATAAAGCAGAGCGCACAGCCTCCTGCTAATGAGACGCTGGCCTCAACAGATCCACCAATTCCTCCTGCCTGTTAATTCCTACTTTTTTTATGTTAAAATAAAATTTCATAGGCAGAAGTTTTAGAATGGACTTGTCATGAATTTTAAAATTTAATTCTAAGGAGAACTGGCTTTGGGATAAAGAGGAATCCTCCTGAAGGGATTAAGTGAATGTGGAGTATGACTCACCTATCCCAATTCAACATGGCTCTGATTTCCACAGCAAAGTGTTTCCACACATTAAACCACACGCACCCTTAATAAAGTAACACAAGAAGCACAGTCACATCTCCCAGAAAACAGAGAACAAAACCCAAATGGCATTGAGTGTGACCATGACTTCAGAGATGCTACACAAAAGACACAATCCATGAAAAAAATAATTGACAATCTGGACTACATTAAAATCAAAAACTTCTAAAGCACAATAAAATTAAAAAAAAAAATTAAAACTTCTGCTCTGTGAAAGACACTGGCAGAAGAAGAAGGCCGACCACGGACTAGGAGAAAATATTTGAAAAAGACATCTCTGATAAAGGACTGTTACCCAAAATACACAATGAACTCTTCAAAACCAACAAGAAAACAAGCAACCCTGTCAAAAGATGGGCCGAAACATGTGGACAGCTCAGTGAAGAACGGCACAGGAGAAGGTGCTCCACACTGTGGTCCTCACGGTCACGCAAACTGAAACAACCAGACACCACGTCACGCCCATCAGAGGCCACCACCCAGAGCGCCGACCACGCCAAGTGCTGGTGCGGCCGCGGTGCCCCAGGGACTCCTACCCCCTGCTGGCGGGAGGCGGAATGCTGCGGCCACTGTGCAGAGTGGCGGCGTCTCCCAAAACTCAACGACCTCTTACCCTCCCATACAGCAGTCACACTCTTGAGCGTTTCACTGAGTTAAAATTTAAGGTCCAGGCAAACGCCTGCGTAAAGGTATTTAGAACGAGCAGCTTCGTTCCTAACTGCCAAAACCTGGAAGCCACAAGACGCCCTTCCACAGGTGATGGACACACGGTACAACCAGACAATGAAATGCTATTTGGGGCTAAAAAAAAAAAAAAAAAAAGAGCTCTCAAGCCTCGAAGAGACAGAGGAACCGTAAACACATATTGCTAAACGAGAGAGACGCCAGTCTGAGAAGGCTCCATCCTGCAGGATTCTAACTCTAGGACTCCTGGAAAAGACAGACCCAGGGGCACAAGGGAGGGATGCGTAAGTACAACAAGGAGGTCTGTAGGGTCTGTAGGGTAGTGAAACTATTCTGGTACTCTAACGGTGCATAGATTTCACATTACATTCGTCAAAATCTATCCAACGTACCACCCCGAGTGAGCACCAGTGCGTACGAACCCTGGGAAAACGGAGGTTCATGGATTACAACAAATGGGAGGCTGACAGTGAGGGAGGGCCGGGCATGTGTGGGGACAGGGAGTATTGGGGGAACGCTTTGTCTTTTCCACTCAATTTTGCTGGGTACCTAAAGAATAAAGTCTATTAAAATAGAAAAAAAAACCACTGTGAGCTAAGATGACAATTCTGTAAGAAAGAAAATGGGTCTTAGGATTCATTATAAGTGGAAGCAGAACACAGCAAGGATCAATTTAAATTTTTAAGAGTTCAGGGCGCCTGGGTGGCTCAGTTGGTTAAGCAACTGCCTTCGGCTCAGGTCATGATCCTGGAGTCCCGGGATCGAGTCCCGCATCGGGCTCCCTGCTCGGTGAGGAGCCTGCTTTTCCCTCTAACCCTCTCCCCTCTCATGTACTCTCTCTCTTTCATTCTCACTCTCTCAAAATAAATAAATAAATAAATCTTAAAAATTAAAAAAAAAAAATTTTTAAGAGTTCATCCAGAAACAACAGTATTTTTAATCTTTGACCAGTAAGAATTGTACTAAATAATTCTGTTGCCACATACAAACAACATAAAAATTCTCAACATTATATTTAAGAGAGTTGCTGTTTAGAGCAATCATAAAGTTTTGGGATTAAAAAAGTTACAAGTAGGATGAGCACTATCAAAAAGTAAATTCTGAAAGGCCAGCTCAGATAGGAACCAAATTTCAACAATTCATCAGATGCATTTAAGTCCTATAAGAAATAGCTGTCGGGATGAACTCCTTCAGTCTGGAAGCTAAGTTATGTTCCCCCCACTGGGGAAAAAGGCTCGTCAACTATTCACAAGTTCTCAGAAGGAAAGACACTGATCATCATTGACTTAGCAGCAGGAGTTTCCAAACATTTAACGAAGGAAGAAAGGAAGGAAGGAGAGAAAGAGAGAGAGAAAGAAAAAGAAATTAATTTTATAACCACGTCCTTTAAAAAAAAAAAAAAAGCTGAATTTCTGACCTCAATTTCATAACGGGAGAAAAAGAACACTGCATTGGAAAGGGGGAGGGGCACACATATGTAACGCATCCAGACTCCACCTGGGATCCTTTTTAATTAAAAAATTCTAAGCATTCCAAGCATATCTCCCAACTTGTAAGGCCAGTGTCTGTCCATTTTCTGCACGAAGGACACCTGCCTTCTTCCTCCAGACGAAGGTTTAAGGAAAGGAAATACTTATCCCGACAAGTTTGTGGTGTCCGAGCGCTTTCTCGCGTCCGCTGGCAGGCCCTGAGGCCCCCAGGCGCCCGGGACTGGCGCGGGGCGGACTTGCCAAGGTCCCGGGCGGCCGTCACCCGGCAGCCGGGTCCACAGAGGCAGGAAGACCAGCGGGCCAGCAGCGGAGGTGCTCCCGGCGGCTGCGCGCCCCGGGCGCTGCCCTGGGCTCCCGAGCCTGCGCGTGGGGGGAGGCGAGGACGTGGGGCTCAACGCCTACTAACTTGGGGAGTCCACACGGACGGCAGCGGCGCGGCCCCAGGACAAGCCCCTGGTCCTAACGGGCGCCACGGCCCGGGCCTCACCTGCGCAGCCCTACCTGGGAGCCCCCATTCCGGCGCGCCGCCCCGCCTGCGCACCCCCCAGCCGCGCGCCTCTACCTCCGCACAGCCCCGGGCCTGGCGCGCGCACCCCCTCCCCGCTCCCCCCTCGCCCGCACCTCCCCCTACCTGCGCGGCAGCGGCGGCTGCGGCGGCCGGCGGCGGCCCCCCTGGCAGGCCGTCCTCCTCCTCGGGGGGCTCGTCCAAGAGCACCCGGCTCCGGCTCAGCTTCCACATGCTCCACGGCGGCTCCGGGGTCGGTGCGTCGACGCGCGCCCCTCCTCTGCCGGCCCGCAGCGCGCCGACGCTGGGCCTGCGGCTCCTGCAGGACCGGGACGCGGCGAGTGGGGCAGGGCGGGGCTGAGTGGCGGCGGCGGCGGGGCCCGGCCCACCCCGGCCGG